AACCATGTTAACCCTACCAGACCGCTGGCCCGATTCTTCAGGAATTTCTTAACCTGACGCTAATTTTCGGCTATTTGCATAGTGCGTGAAAAAGATGCGTCACAAACTAAAAATAACTAGCCAATCGTAATCAGACCTCGTGAATAGTCTTCCTAGATGTCTGCTCTCGTGTGTTTGGATAAAATGTTTTGTAATACATAAAATTTTTTTGAAAATTCACAATAAAACGAGCAGGAAAGTAAAGTAGGTCTAGGCTTTTCACAGTCCAACAGGTGATCAATACTTTGCTTTATTCAGACTCTGCAGAGTCATAATTACATGAAGAATAAGTTCACAGTTAAAGTGACACATTCAGCTCAAATAATGAGGAGAATCTTGAAGATTATAAATAAATCTAGAAATAGATCGGTAGTAAGAGAAGTGGGCGTGTCCCTCAAACAGCAACATCTGGTGCTCACTTTGTGAAACAATCGTGATCCTCCTGAGTGGATTGGCACACACAGGTGGAATATTGGCGCTAGATATAATATAAGCCTATTTTCTACAATGTCTCCAAGTTTCATCTTATTCTAACCACTTGTTTTGCGTGTAACGAATATTTTTGTATATCATGTTGGTTTCTCTCGTTAATGCTCAGGAGCTCAGGTATAGGAGGCAGTTAGGGTCAGGGCCTCAGGTCTGGTAGGGTTAATACACAAATTGATGGATGCTGATGGAATTGATTATATAGTTTGTTAGTTGTTCTAATAGTTTTAATAAATGTTCTTTTTTGATTTTAACAGCAATAAGCTTAACAGATTGTTGCACTTGATAATTAGCCAATCACACATGGAGCATTGATTGTCACACATAATAAACAGGCCAATCACACATGGAACATTGATTGTCACACATAATGAACAGGCCAATCACACATGAGATATTGATTTGTACACATAACAACAGCCAGTCACACGTGAGATATTGATTCATACACATAACAACAGCCAATCTACATGAGACTGATTGTTCATGAAATAAACAGCCAATCACACACAAGACATTGGCACACATAATAAACAGCCAGTCACACGTGAGACATTAATTATTACACAAAGTACACACCTAAAAATAAACATGGAGTCTTCCCTCGCACTCCGACGGTTGTGGATTTGTTACTTGGACACACCATTCAGTTCAGTGTTCACGGAGATCCCAGGAGATCATTGCTGAAGCTACAGAGTTCATGCTTTGTGCATTGCATTTAACAGACAGCTAATCATTATGCCAAAAGAGAAATAGAGATATGGGATAATCTGACTTTAGTTAACTAGCCAGTTAATCCGCTCGGGGAAAGGCAAGACGAGTAGTTAACTAGAGGATAACAGGTACCATCATTATGGAAACTACTTGTCATCTATTCTTCTTCTTCTTCTTCGGGATCACTGTCTGTAAACTCCAGCAGAAAGTTCTAACTGTTTGTCCACTTCTGGACTGCAGTCCTGTTTCAGAACGTGAGTGTTGCATGTGCATCCATTTGACAGATCTGACTCATTTGTGTGCAGACTGTTGGTTCCTTGCCTCTCAGGCACATGCACTCTGACTTTGAAGGAAGCTGCCAGTTAGTTGACACTAACGATATGCTTTTCGGTAGGCAGTTGGTCTATTCTTGTTTTCCATCTATTTAGGAGAAAGGCGGAGCTAATATGGGATTTGTCTTGAAAGCTGTGATGTCCAATCTTTACTTATATGAACCCAGTTTAACCAGCAAATCAATCAGCAATCTTGTTGTACATTTCAGGTTACTATGTGCCCCACTGGAAGATCCGCCCTCATCCGATGATGAGCAACAAACAGACTATGTCACCAACAAGGGCACCTGGTATGTCTGTGAACCACATCAGCATTAGTGATTCTATCCATGGCCAGCTTTAGCAGTAAGGCCCAACAGGTCTGCGGAAATTCCCATTTTCTTAGGTCGGTCCACAGCCGGTCTGAGCTCCCATTGTTATCAAGTAAATGTATACACAAATTAACTAGTTTAATTAACTTGCAACATATTTTATTGAATATTTTTTTAAAATTATTATTTTTCTATTTTCCAGTGGCTCACGTATTTATCTTCATAATGATAATTCATTCAGTAAAATATGTTGCAAGTTAATGAAACTATAGTTTAATTTGTGTGTACCGGATAACAATCATGAGCACAGACCAGCCTAACAAAATAGGAATTTCCGTATTTCTGTTTGGCCTTACTTCTGGAGCTGGCCGTGTTCTATCATACCAATTAAATCTCTCTGTTCTATGTAGCCATGAGTTAATGAATGTTTGTATTTTATCAGTAACTGTCTTAGTTGTTCTCCGTGTTTCTGCTCCATATAGCAGTACTGATCTGAGTTTAGGATTACACATTTTAAGTTTAGTTTTAGATTAATTTTGTTTGACCTCCACAAATTCTCTAGTGCTATGAAAACTCTTTTATTGATATTTTAATATCTTTATCAGTTCCCTCATCTTTATCTACATTATTATCCAAACAGATGTTATGTTATGTTATTTTATCACAATCGACATCTTTGCCCATTGGGCATCCCCATGTGTGCTCAGTCCTCTGATGCAGCAGCCACTTCGAGGTACCTCTACTTATTATTCCCATGAGGAGTTGGTTATAGTATCTCCTGTCTTTACCTCTAAGACGGCATAGTCGTGCTTCACAAAGCTCAACTTCTCGGTCATGAAGTCGTGTTAGCGTCAGAGATTCACCATTATCTCCCAACCTAATCCATATGGCATTGATGATATCAGCTCTATCCATGCTTTCACCCATTTGCATTGGTGCATTACTTGCCAGCTGGTCAGCTCTTTCATTCCAAACAGATGTACGACTCCACATGTTGAAGTGGGATACCTTCAAGAGAAACCAGATTACCATTTGGTTGATTTATTCTCATTATTGTTGATTTCCTCTTATGGATTTTAGACTAAATTGTTGTGATCTCGCTTCAAGTATTGTTGTTTGTTGTTGTTTGTTTGTTGTTTGCATTCATGGGCAGTAAACTCCGGAGGAAAGACTGGGTTGTTAGTCCTTTTCTGGACTTTGGCTTTGTTCCAGGGCCTGAGTTTTGCATGTGCAACCGTTTTACAAATCTTGCTTATTTGTATGCAGACTATTGGTTCCTTGCCTCTCAGGCAGATGTGCTCCGACTTTGAAGAAAGCCCCCAGTTAGTCGACTCATACGACATGCTTGTTGTGAAGGCAGTGGGTCTGTTCTTGTTTTCCCCACAATAGGACCCCGGAACCCACAGAGGTATCGCATCAGGTATATTTAATTTATTTTGTATCTGATTCTATGAGTGGAATAGAAAAGAACATTCTTTTAACTTGTCTCCAAAATGCCGACTGTCTGCATCAAAATTTCTTATCAGATTACCAAATTAATCTGTATCAAGAAAGTCAGATGTGGTCAAGGCCCTTTGGGAACAAGCAACGGAATCAGTAGTGAAACAAGATTTTTATGGTCTGGAGAGAATGAGACACCAGGGTGTAACCAGAGGGTCTGGCCTGCTTACTACACTCAGAGGAAAGGCAAGACAGACAAATTACCAGATTGTGACTGGTACAATCAGTATTGGAACTATGCGCTGGCAGATGAGGATGGAGCATGCATGGGAATGTCCTGAGTACTGTGATGTCAATTCTTGACTCAACTCAACTCAACTCTGTATCATTCTGTGATATTCTTAGCAACTAGAAACTCACATTGAGTCTCCAAAAGAATAGGTCCCATTTCATGGAAACTAAAACAGTCCAATACAGAGGTTCTGGAAAGACTACAGATGACAAGGGAGTTACTGAAATTATTTTAAAAAAAGAGACTTGAAATACTTTGGCCACTTTGAAAGACTTAACACGCTTTTAAAAATCATACTGGGGGAAAGGTGGCAGACAAGAGAGCAAGAGGTGTGCAATGATACAAATGGGAGGACAACATCAAGAGACGGACATGGGGCAGTCTGAGAGAGTGTACAACCAGGACCCAGGACAGATGTTTTGTTATGTCATCACAATCGACATCACTGCACATTGGGCATTCCCATGCCTGCTCAGTCCTTCGATGCAGAAGCTACTCCAATTACTTCCACTAATTGTTCCCATGAGAGGCTGGTTATAATGTCTCCTATCTCAGCCTCGAAGACGGCATAGACCTGCTTCACCATGCTTTACTCCCATGTCACGCAATTGTGTTAGTGTCATTGATTCCTCATTATCCACTAGCCCAGTCCGTACAGCGTTGACGATATCTGCTCTGTCAATGCTTCTTCCCACATGACTTAGTGCAATGCTTGCCAGTTGGTCCGCTCGCTTATTTCCCTTTATGCGCATGACCGGGTGTGTAGATCCAGGTGAGGGAGGTTAAGTGCGATTTTTGAATGACAACGGACAGAGCATGTTGGAGATCCATTGCAGCTACCCTTCACTGTGGAGACAGCACCTGATTGAGATATTCTAGCGCTCTTCTCTAAAACCACATCTCCACTGCAAGTAAAAAATTTTCAGCTCGTCTGCTCATCATCCATGTCTCTTGTATACCAAACCGCAGATTCTCTTAGCCATAGATCATCAGCCAATGTTTCAAATTCACTGCAGATGCAGCATCCTGTGATTGCTCATTCCTGTGCCAGTAAAAATCACACAAAATGTACTTCCTTGTCTCAGTTGAAAAACTATTGAAAAACATATCAGTCCAGGCAAAACATTGAAGCTTGCACATGTAGACTAAACTACATAAGGCAGCTGAGAGATTTACAAACTCTAACAGTTTCCTACTGGAATTGCAGCTCACTGTTGATGCAAGAAGTCAGGTAATAAAATCTAGGATTTGTGAGCACCGACGCACACACACCCCACTCATCCCCCACATGCAAAATATATATGGTTCTTTCATTAGTTCAGACAGTCAGATTGGAACTTCTCTTCTCCAGGTTCCGTACCTGCAGCCTTTGTGATTGAGACAATCATGGAGCATGTTGCTAAAACTGTGAACAAACATCCCATCATCATCAAAGAGTTAAATCTGTATGAGAAACATCAGGTAACCTGAGTGTAATACATTTTTTCCTCTGCTCAGAAATACAGCCTGTTTCTCAATCTTCTTCTACTTTTTCAGCATTCTCAGCCCTTGAGGTTCATTGCTGCAGACTTCACCTGCCTCCACTCATCTCTCTAGTTGGCCTTCTCTTTCCAGTTGGTGACACCAAGTGTTTGCAGGTCTGTCTGGATATTATCTCCCCATCGTCTTCTCGGTGTGCCTCGTGGTCTGTGACCATTCACCTCCCTTGTGTATACAGTTTTTACTTCTCTGTCATCTGACATTCTTTCAATATGCCCTAACCATTTTAGTCTATTAGCTCTCATGATGCCAGTGATCAGTGGTGATTTAAACAGATTATGACCTGGAAACAGATTACGACTGCATGCAGCCTATCTACCACCCCCTGAAATATTAGACTGTCCCATGACCTGTGGATTTCCCCTTTTTGGGGTAGGATATTAATAAAACACCTGTTGTGGACCAAGAAGAAAAATAATGTTGATGTTCTAATAATTATAAATATTTATAATTGGCTCATAAAGAACATCTAGTCTCAGAAAGTGAAGAGCTGGCCAACTAGCATGAAGCATAAGACAGAGACACCTTGGGCCAGAAAATGACAGAAGAAGAAGAGCTAGTGAAGGACCAAATATCTTTCAGGTGGTCTGTGATGAAAGTGACATTCTGTAAAGAACCTGCTAAAAGATTACATAGATAGAAATCACAAATGACCACGTTCACCATACAATTGTGCAGCACATTGGCAACAATAAACTTCTTTTAACTACAGTGAAAAGTGGGGAAAATGCAATGGTACAGACATGCAGTAAGATCTAATGGCCTCTCAAAAAACAGTACTACGGGGTGCAATGGATGGGAATAGGAGAAGAGGCAGACCAAGAAAGACCTAGATACATAACTTGACTGATTGGACAGACCTTAGGCATGCAGCCATGAAGTTCATTGCATCTGACCATCAAAAGGGGGAAAAAGCTGATCAGACAGTCATTGCATCTGACCATCAAAGGTGGAGAAAGCTGATCAGACAGTCATTGCATCTGACTTTCAAAGGTGGAGAAAGCTGATCTGACAGTCATTGCATTTGACTGTCAAAGGTGGAGTAAGCTGATCAGTCATTGCATCTGACTGTCAAAGGTGGAGAAAGCTGATCAGTTTGACTGTCAAAGGTGGAAGCAGCTGATCAGATAGCCATTTGCAACTGGTGACCCAATGACACGCAGTGTAGCGGGATGATGGTAATGCATTTGTGATGATCAAGTGACCTGCTGACTGGCACAGGCATTCTCTGTGATCTGAATATCGAGGTAGAGTGGCTGATAACTTTGTAAACTAAAATACTTCAACCTGTTAAATGTCATAATGGTTTAATGAGAATATAAATGTAGGATGTGGCTATTGAAGAAAAGGCAGGGCCTACCGTCATGCGGATAGGTGCAAGATATCAAAGATACCTTAGGCATCAAAGTTTCATATAGGGGAGAAGTTGACACGGGACTGAGTGGCTTTATTCTTCTTCTTTTTCTTCTTCTTCTTTGCATTCACCGGCTATTAACTCTTGACAGAAAGTTCTGGTTGTTCATCCACTACTGGATGTTTATCTTGTTCCAGAACTTGAGGTTTGCATGCATTTTACAGATTTGGCTTATTAGTATGCAGACTGTTGGTTTCTTGCTCTCAGGCAGATGCACTCTGACTTTGAAGAAAACATTTCCTGATTATTCCTGCTCTGAAGTTTGCGGGGGTCATTTCATGACTGTGTTGGTGAGTTTATGAGTGCAAATTGTACAGAGATCCTTGGAGATCATCACCGGAGCTATGAAAATTGTGCTTTATGTGATGCTCTCAGCAGATGGCTAGCTGTTTTGCAGAGAGAAATTGAGCCCTATGGGATAACACTTGGTGCGACGAAGTCGATCCTTTCAACTTCAGCTTTATTAATAACTTGTCGTAGATGAATGATAATCTTCGCCAGCAGTTACTCTTACTGTCAACGAATAGCTGATGCTGAATATTTGTTGCCTGCGGTTTCAGACAGATCCTTATGGTCATGACATGAAAGACTGCACCATCAGGGAGTTGTGGAGACGACTCAAGGACACAGCAGAAGTAGATGGTAGAGTGAGACAGGTGGACGCCTTCAATCAGGTAAGCTATAAATTCTTCTTCTTGTTGCTCTCTTTCACCATGTACCTCATCAAAGTGTTGGGGGGAGATGTAACATTCGTTGGTGAGCTCTGTCAAGAGCACTATTAAATCTGAGTTTCATTTCTGTAAGGCTGTTCTTAATGCCATCACTCCATCTTTTCTGAGGTCTTCAACTCGCTCCAGACCAGTTGTAACATTTTAGCGTGGCTTGCTGAGGGAGATGGTGCCAGGGCATTCTTATTAGGTGTCCGAACCACTTCATTTGTTTTTCTTTGATGGTATGTAAGACTGGCTTTATTCTTAGCATTTGTCTGATCTTTATTCCTAGCATTCGTCTGATTTCATGATTTCATATTCTGTCTTTCCTTGAAACTCCTGCGGCTCTTCTAATGCATTTCCTCTCTGTTGTCACAGTTTTACATTCTTGGAGGATGTTAGCGTTAACTCTTGCCACTGATAGCATAGAGTTGGCTAAAAAATAGTTCTGATAAGATTCACTAGTAGTACTTTGGAGTATCTGCTTGTGTGTCAACAGGGGAGATAGTTGCCCCATTACTTGGTTAGCTTTGGCACATCTCGAGCTAATTTGTCTGTCAAGTTTAGGTAAGCTATAACACTTTTTAAATTTCAGGTAATCAGATAATCGCAGTATCGAATTCATAGCAAACAGGTCACCCTAAAGTTGCTCCTTTCCTGTGCTAATGAAAAACACACAGAAATGTACATAACTGGCCTCTGTGGGAAAATATTGACACAGACTTGTAAGAAAGCTGGCTCAGTTGCAGTATAGCTCGTTTACTCTGGAACAAACATAGCTTCCTACAATTGACAACACTGGAACGCTGCTCGGATTCCAATAGACATTCTGCCAGTTTATTTCTCCATCACATATACTCAATCACAAGCATCACTGTTCACTTCCACAAATATGCCTCAATAATCAATTACTAAATGTTGACTAAACTTAATTAAAACTACAGTAACAACATCACGACTGTCCTCTTCTAACTTTGGTACACAACTGACCACGAGTCCACATCAGACTTTCCCTTGCTTACCGTCCAGCCCCAAGTATCTTGTGTGGTCATTCATTGCACATATTTTCTGCTCGACTTGCTGTGAGCATGGAGACCATGCAAAGCCCCTCATCACAGACTGCAGTCTTAGCAAATCCAGTGTCATACATGCACACTGAATGCATAAAGCAGCAGTCAGAAGTGCCAACACAAACTGTCCAATACTAGGAATGCAGTTCATTGTTGAAGGAAGCAGCAGTTGCAACAGATCAGTAGTTGCACATGCAGTTAATCACATAAGGTAATACAGGTTCTCTGGCAAAGGTCGTTCACCATTTTCTGAATGTGCAGTTCAGAACACAAAGCAACACAAACCCGTGTGGGTTCCAGGGCCCTATTATAGGGAAAACAAAAATAGAACCACTACCTAGCCAAAAGCATGTTGTAAGAGTCGACTAATTGGGAGCTTCCTTTGAAGTCGGAGTGAATATGCCTGAGAGGCAAGAAGTCAACAGTCTGCAAACAAATGAGTCAGATCTGTAAAACGGATACACTCAGGTTCTGGAACAGGACTGCAGTCCAGAAGCTGACGAACAACCAGAACTTTCCACTGGAGTTTAAAGCTGGTGAACGTGAAGCAGAAGAAGAAGAAGAAGAAGAAGAAGAAGAAGAAGAAGAACACAAACCGATGTTGGGCAGAGTAAAATCAAAACATTCTAATGGAAATCTGAGGCTCACCATGTCATACCATCCACTCAGCACAGTAGCTGGGTGACAGAACTATACCTTTCTACATATGGAGAAAATTACTACTGCTAATTATTGTCAGAAACAAAAACTTTTCACTACTAAAAATATTGACCGGAAGTCTCAGTTTTTACATGTATTGACTACAATACCAAGCCTTTCAGAAAGGGCTCGAGTTTAAATGTTAAAAAATTTCACAGCATTTTAAAAAAGCACATGGTGTAGGCTGTTAGGCTACTTCTGTTACTGCCCCAGTGGAGCATAAGCTCTCAACCTGCTGACATCAAGTCATTCTATTCTTTGCCATTATGTGTATTTCACCTCATCTGCTCAGTGTCTTGTCACCTGTTTCTGTAATTATCTACTGTTTCTCTAATTGTCTTCTATATGTGGTTTTTGTTTTGTTGTTAGGTAGGGTAGGGTTCCTATACAGGAGATATCTTCAGTCTATATGTGGTTTTTGTTTTGTTGTTGTTTGACCATGTGAGTTGTCACAACTATAGGAGAGCCCTAGGTAGGGTAGGGTTCCTATACAGGAGATATCTTCAGTCTATAGGTACCATGGAGTTGGGTTCCTATACAGGAGATATCTTCAGTCTATATGTGGTTTTTGTTTTGTTGTTGTTTGACCATGTGAGTTGTCACAACTATAGGAGAGCCCTAGGTAGGGTAGGGTTCCTATACAGGAGATATCTTCAGTCTATATGTGGCTCACTAGAAGTATGGTAACTTCATTGTCTACTAGGGTAGAGAGACCGAGATATTACTCCTGGGACAGAGGACAAGAAAATAAGTCTGCCCCGCTCCGATGGTGTGGTGCTAAGGCAAGCTAGTTATCTTGGTGGCAACTCCTCTGCCACTGTTAAAGAAAGAGCCCCCAGAGAGAAAGCAAAGAATGCCCCCTTCTCGCTCACTCAACTATCACTCACGTACAGCAACAAAGACAGACGAGAATAGTAGTGAATGAAGAATAATGTAGCTTTAATTCTACTGACAACTGACTGGCTAAAAATTGACGGTGGTTTGGTGTTCTTTAAACCACAGTGGGTATCATCATTAGGGAATGAGAAATGTCTACTCGGTCCAGTTCCTTCCCCACACGAGTACAGCTCACCGGTGGAGATTCCCCAAGGTTTGACTTGGTGGGAAAACAGGAACACTAGGCTTCTGTAGCTGTAATTTCTTGTGAATCCTCTTGTAGATAATCCACTGCTGATGTTCTTAAAGTTCAGATACGACACGTGGTTGTTTAGAAAATTACAATATGTGGTCGGTTAAAAATTACGACTCGTAGTCGGTTAAAAATATTGGAATCAAATTCCTTAAACAGTCTCTTTGTCTGTGCCGATTCTATGGCGACATGACAATGGGTACAATTGTGTACTGATCGTTGAGTCGTTGGTGTTATGAAAAATGCCGCAGGGCTGGGGGAAGATAGAAAAAGCCCTCATAAGCATGTGCTAAAAGGAACACGTGGTGTCCCGAATTTGCTGGTTCTCTGGGCCCTTCAGAATTTATTAACTGTATAAAATATTAAGCTAATTCAGTTACAATGGTTTACATAGTACACCGCATTTAAATATAAGCTTCGGTACTTAACTTGTAGAGGTGAGGTTACACCCACGTGGCCATATATATTTTTATATCGGTCACCTCTCGAACTCCAGCCAGCAAATTCAGGGATAACAATTCTTAATATTCATTAATAATATATTAATAGAAAATAAGGGTACACATACCGAAGTTTTACAATTAGAAGAAGAGTGCCAACTTACCCCTCAGATCGGTCAGAAATCACTACAGTAATCCAGAACGAATTAGTATAAAACTACACTCGCTAGTATGAATACTTACTTACTTACTTAGTCGCTCCTCTTCTACCTTGGGGTGTAGAGGTTTGCCAGAGAGATCGCCAGACGTCTCTATCAGCAGTTTTCTTTCTGGCTTTGTTCCATTCCAGTCCTCTGTCAGTTAGGGACTGTTGGATGTTGTCTTCCCAGCGCACCCTGGGTCGTCCTGGAGGTCTTGTTCCCTGGTTCTTAGCCTCTCATGCCTGCCATGGTGGCCAATTTTCTCCCATTCTGCATACATGTCCAAACCATCGTAACTGACTGATCCACTCGGGTTTGTAATGGACTGGGTATCAAGATCTTGACGTATTGTCTGATTGCTGACTTTGTCCCTTCTTGTCACTTGGACCACCTTTCTCAGATGTCTCATTTCCGAGGCCTGCAGCTGGCTTCTGTGAGCTGTTGTCATTGCCCATGACTCACACCCATAGGTCCGGACTGGTACATAGGTAGAGCGGTAAACATAGTATGAATACTGAACTTGAAAACTGCCGATCTTTGCTCAGTCGCCTTTGAAAATGAAAAGACCGAAAAGATGGCGTTAGCTGCCCCACATGGACGACACGTGACCACAGCCATGCGCATGCGCCAAAGAGGGGCCACCATCCGTTCCGTTCTATCATTGGTCGGACAGGGCTCTGTGATTGGTCGCCAAACTGATAGTCCATGATTCGAACGTAACTGGTCCTATCTGGTTTTTAGCGGAAAGTAATAGGGGAAATCAGGCTGCTAGGTGACGCGAAAATATCGAACGAAGTCAGCGTAAGCAACACCCATGTTTCTACAGAGGTAGAATCGTGTCCTCTAACTTCTATTACTTATATATATATATATATATATATATATATATATATATATATATATATATATATATATATATATATATATATATATATATATATATCTAACTTCTGCCCTAAACTATCCTAAACTATACAGGTAACTAGGGGAGTGTCAGTGGTCATTGCCAGTACTGTCACATGAGTTTCAGTTGAAGAACATATTCTAGTTATATTAATATCAGGGTTTCTCAATAAGTGTCCTATGGAATGCCAATATGTTTTCCTGACTCCTTAATTTGCAGGAACTTGTTTGTTTCTCCCCCAAAGCTCTACTTTAGTGATTATCACGTACCATTTAATTTCCTTCTATTCAAAGTGTCACACTTACCTTAAAAGAGGAAAGGAGAAGATTGCAAAATCTGCACAGAGCATTTCCTGGTTTTGATTTCAGGCGGAATCATGGTGGGAGTCTGGGTAAACATAAAAATATCTCGCCAGCCCCAACCCCCCTCCTGTGTGCTTTCATATTCAAGGAGTCACTTATATCCTGTGGCCATCCTTCTGTTGGTCTGCCCCTGCCCCTCTTTCCTGGGGCCATGCCTTCTGCTATTATTTTTTTCCAATCTGCAGTAGCACTTGATATGAGCAAAATATTTCAGCTTCCGAGACAAGATGCCGTTTATTAGAAAATGGGTACCAGGATGGGCTGTCCTGGGAAAGTAAAGACAGCCGGCGTAATGCTGACCACATTTACCCACAGAGTGCTGACGGTCTGTAAAAATATGGGACGCTCTGCCCATATGCCCGATGCGCCGAAATGCGTGAAAAGGGAACTTTACTTTTTTTTTTTTTTATTATTCCTTGATGTTCAGATTTTTTAAAATGTCAGTATTTCTTCTCTTTTTTGTCCATGATATTTTGAGAATCCTTCTCTAGCATTTCAGCTCAAAACCCCCTGTTTTCTTTCTCAAAGACTGGGAGATAGTCCACGATTCACATTCGTATGTTGCTACAGGGAAGATGCATGCTCTCAGAATTCTAATTTTGATTTACTTGTTGGTTCTTAACCATAGACTTTTTAGGCTATTTAATCTTTGCATTGCTATGGCCATCCTCCTTTTGATTTCTATCAGTTTCCATGCTATTTATTATAGTGCCTAGATATTCAGACTTAGTGACATTTTGCTGAGTGTCCGCCAGTTTTGTCTGTGGATTTTTGTTTGTTTTCTTTAAATCAAGAATTGGTTTGATTATAGTCTTATAGGAAATAGCCATTCAGTGTGTGTTTTTATCAACTTGTGCTGTATAATCTATACAAATATGGATCAGACACCAAGCATTTATTATTCATATGTGAAAAGGTTTCTCTACTAATTATATTCAAATAATATTCATGTGGGTTCTGGGACCCCATTTTGGGGAAGACAAGAATAGACCCACTACCTCCCAACAAGCATGTCGTAAGAGCTGAGGCCTAAGAGGTGAGGAACCAACAGCCTGCCTGAAAAGAAGCTAGATCTGTAAAACAGATGTGCATGAAACACACAGGTTCTGGAACGAGACTAAAGTCCAGAGGTAGACGAACAACCTGAACTTTTGACCTGAGTTTATTCTTGGCGAACATAGAGAAGATAAAGATATTCAAATAAATCATTTATCATTTGATAAAGATGAGCTGTTGTTGTAAAGAACTGACATCACAGCACTCCGATAAGTGCCCCACCCTCATCTTCAGCAGCAGTTGCAGCGGTCCATTTTCGATGGCATAAGTCTTTTTTCTTTCTTCTTTTCTCTACTCCTGAAATGACTTGCGGTATCAGGGCAGAAAGAGATCTCTGCAACATGCGCTTCTATTCACTTCTTATAAAGTACTTTTCCACGTCTCTGCGGTCCATCTTCCATGTGGACGACCTTTGGCTCTGTTACCATTGTATCTGTATAGTATATTTGATAATAAAGCTTGTTTGTTCATTTGTTTGTTCTGTCTGGCCTTTCTTCTGAGTGTTGAGTTGTTGATCTTCTGTACGCAGGATAATCTTTGGAAGAAGCGAGGCATCACAATTACCACCAACAAGTACGGCATGTTGTATTTTGGTACCCATACAGCAAATGTCTCCATCTATGCCAGAGATGGTTCAGTTGCTGTGTCCCAAGGAGGAGTTGAAATGGGCCAGGGACTCTACACAAAAGTAAGCTCAGTGATGGAGGATTGTTGTTGTTTGTGTTGTATCATGTGTTTATGATTGGCTCATTTTGGTTTGATCTTAGAATGTGAATGATTACATTAAAAAGAATGTCGAGACCATCTCTTCATCTTCTTCCTAAATTCCATGCCATGTAGTGTTAGTAGTCATGTCTATCCACAGAGTCAACTCTGACACAGATTATCTTCCATCCATGCCATGTGGCGTTAGTACTCATGTCTATCCACAACCTTCTGTCTTGTTTACTTTCAGTCAACTCTGACACAGATGATCTTGCATAGTCCATGCCGTGTGGCGTTAGTAGTCATGTCTATCCACAACCTTCTGTCTTGTTTACTTTCAGTCAACTCTGACACAGATGATCTTGCATAGTCCATGCTGTGTAGCATTAGTACTCATGTCTATCCACAGCCTTCTGTCTCATGTACTTTCAGTCAACTCTGACACAGATGATCTTGCATAGTCCATGCCGTGTGGCGTTAGAACTCATGTCTATCCACAGCCTTCTGTCTTGTGTACTTTCAGTCAACTCTGACACAGATGATCTTGCATAGTCCATGCCGTGTGGCGTTAGTACTCATGTCTATCCACAGCCTTCTGTCTCGTGTACTTTCAGTCAACTCTGACACATATGATCTTCCATAGTCCATGCCGTTTAGCTTTAGTACTCATGTCTATCCACAGCCTTCTGTCTCGTGTACTTTCAGTCAACTCTGACACAGATGATCTTGCATAGTCCATGCTGTGTAGGGTTAGTAGTCATGTCTATCCACAACCTTGTGTCTCGTTTACTTTCAGTCAACTCTGACACAGATGATCTTGAATAGTCCATGCTGTGTAGCGTTAGTACTCATGTCTATCCACAGCCTTCTGTCTCATGTACTTTCAGTCAGCTCTGACACAGATGATCTTGCATAGTCCATGCCGTGTGGCGTTAGTACTCATGTCTATCCACAGCCTTCTGTCTCGTGTACTTTCAGTCAACTCTGACGCAGATGATTTTGTATAGTCCATGCCGTGTGGCGTTAGTACTCATGTCTATCCACAGCCTTCTGTCTTGTGTACTTTCAGTCAACTCTGACACAGATGATCTTGCATAGTCCATGCCGTGTAGCGTTAGTAGTCATGTCTATCCATAACCTTCTGTCTCATGTACTTTCAGTCAACTCTGACACAGATGATCCTGCATAGTCCATGCCGTGTGGCGTTAGTAGTCATGTCTATCCACAGCCTTCTGTCTCATGTACTTTCAGTCAACTCTGACACAGATGATCCTCCATGCCGTGATGTCAAATCTGTTCCCTTGGTCTTCCTCTGCCTCTCCTCCCCTTCAACTTCCCTACTGTCACGATGTACGCCAGTTTTCTCCTTCTCATCACAAGACCAAAGAATGTAGATTGTCTCTTTCTGATATAGGCAATCAGTTCTCTTCGTGAGTCAGTTTCTTTCAGTTACTCTTTCTATCTGTCCAGGGTATTCTTATCCTTCATCTATAAAACCACATCTCTGCAGCTTCCAAATAATTTTTCATTAATTTACTAACTGTCCATGATTTGCTTCCATATATCAAGATAGGATTTATTAAGCATTTAAGAATTCTCTTTCTTGTCTCAGTTGACAAAAAAAGATAAGAACATCTCAAGTATGGACAACAAGGTTCTTTACAAATTGATTTTTTTTTTCTTTTTGTTTTTTAATCTGTCACAGATTATTTGCCTGTGGTGTGTAGTGCTTAGTATCTTTTTTATCCTCTGCCAAAAGAGAACTCGGTAATGTTACCATACTAGGAATATGTTGTCCTGAGATGAATTAAGCAGAGAATCACCAAAACAGGGACTAAAATGGGAAGGGGCCGCATTAGCGCAGTCAATAGGAGATTCGCTTTCAAATCCTGTTGCGACTCGCTGAAGCCCACGGTCGGTGTTAGAAACCGGATGGTTCCCCGGGTTCACTCAGCCACTAGGAAAAGGGTACCAGAGTTAACACTCTGGGGTGAATGGAGGGACTTCGCTGTAGCTATGGAGTTGCGTGTGGACAGCGACACAGGTGGACAGTGCATGGAGTACATGCACATGAGTTCAGACTTTCCTCAGGATGTATTCGAGGTCTGAAGGCGACTTTTTACCCATTAAAAACAACCCCTAGGGCAGACTTGGGAATTAAGCAAAAAACGAGACGCATATCAGACACACCAGAAGACTTGTTAATCAACAAAGAACTGGTATTATTACCTATCGGATGTTGGGGTTCATACTGAGGGGAGGATCTGAGCACCTATGGACATGTCCGGAGTGCAATGATGATAACCCAACTAACTAACTAACTAACTAACTAACTAACTAACTAACTAACTAACTAACTAACTAACTAACTAACTAACTCAACCAACCAACCAACCAACCAACCAACCAACCAACCAACCAACCAACCAACCAACCAACCACACCACACCACACCACACCACACCAAACCAAACCAAACCAAATCAAACCAAACCAAACCAAACCAAACTAAACTAAACTAAACTAAACTAACTTAACTTAACTTATTTTAACTTAACTTTAACTTTGACCTTAACTAAACTAAACTAAACTAAACTAAACTTAACTAACTAACTAACAGGTGGACGGTTTCTTATCAGCTGTCCCTACTGGTGGCAGAGCACTTATGGTTTATAACCATGTCCAATGACGCTACTTGGCATCTCCCGACTTTACTTTTTTAAAATGGGAAACAAAGGAAAAGTGGATATATAAAAAAAAAACAGAAATGTTGATAATAGGGGCTGGGCTGGATTGGGTTCATGATATCAGAGGGATTGCACAGGATATTACACAATGGAAGAACAGATTGCAAACCCTGTGTGACCCCTATGTAAACCCTATGCAACTCCTGTGTGACCTCTATGTGACCCCTATTTGACTTATAATGGCACAACAGGGCAGTGTTGAATGATGATTTTATATATATATATATATATATATATATATATATATATATATATATATATATATATATATATATATATATATATATATATATATATATATATATATATATATATATATATATATATATATATATATATATATATATATATATATATATACAAGTATATATACATGAAATAGGTTTGCAGAAAGCCATTGTTTTACATACCATGCTGTGTGGTGTTGGTAATCATATAATCATATCTGTTTACAACCTTTTGCCTCATCTCATGTCAGTCATTTTGGATATAGTTCTTCCATCCCATGACGCCAAACTGTCCAGAATCTTCTTTCTTGGTTTCCCATTGTATGTGTATGGATGTGGGCTTGTGTATGTATGAGAGCATGTGTGTATACAGATTATTTTGCATGTGTGTGTGTGTCAGTGTTTAAATGATGTTTAAGTGCATGTATGAGCGTAAGTGCGTCTATGTATTTGAATGAGGGCGTGTGTGTGTGTGTGTGTATGTATGCGAGCATGTGTGTATACAGATTATTTTGCATGTGTGTGTGTGTCAGTGTTTAAATGATGTTTAAGTGCATGTATGAGCGTAAGTGCGTCTATGTATTTGAATGAGGGCGTGTGTGTGTGTGTGTATATGTATGCGAGCATGTGTGTATACAGATTATTTTGCATGTGTGTGTGTGTCAGTGTTTAAATGATGTTTAAGTGCATGTATGAGCGTAAGTGCGTCTATGTATTTGAATGAGGGCGTGTGTGTGTGTGTGTGTGTATGTATGCGAGCATGTGTGTATACAGATTATTTTGCATGTGTGTGTGTGTCAGTGTTTAAATGATGTTTAAGTGCATGTATGAGCATAAGTGCGTCTATGTATTTGAATGAGGGCGTGTGTGTGTGTGTGTGTATGTATGAGAGCATGTGTGTATACAAATTATTTTGCATGTGTGTGTGTGTCAGTGTTTAAATGATGTTTAAGTGCATGTATGAGCATAAGTGCGTCTATGTATTTGAATGAGGGCGTGTGTGTGTGTGTGTATATGTATGGGAGCATGTGTGTATACAGATTATTTTGCATGTGTGTGTGTGTCAGTGTTTAAATGATGTTTAAGTGCATGTATGAGCGTAAGTGCGTCTATGTATTTGAATGAGGGCGTGTGTGTGTGTGTGTGTATGTATGCGAGCATGTGTGTATACAGATTATTTTGCATGTGTGTGTGTGTCAGTGTTTAAATGATGTTTAAGTGCATGTATGAGCATAAGTGCGTCTATGTATTTGAATGAGGGCGTGTGTGTGTGTGTGTGTATGTATGAGAGCATGTGTGTATACAGATTATTTTGCATGTGTGTGTGTGTCAGTGTTTAAATGATGTTTAAGTGCATGTATGAGCGTAAGTGCGTCTATGTATTTGAATGAGGGCGTGTGTGTGTGTGTGTATGTATGGGAGCATGTGTGTATACAGATTATTTTGCATGTGTGTGTGTGTCAGTGTTTAAATGATGTTTAAGTGCATGTATGAGCGTAAGTGCGTCTATGTATTTGAATGAGGGCGTGTGTGTGTGTGTGTGTGTGTGTATGTATGCGAGCATGTGTGTATACAGATTATTTTGCATGTGTGTGTGTGTCAGTGTTTAAATGATGTTTAAGTGCATGTATGAGCGTAAGTGCGTCTATGTATTTGAATGAGGGCGTGTGTGTGTGTGTGTGTATGTATGCGAGCATGTGTGTATACAGATTATTTTGCATGTGTGTGTGTGTCAGTGTTTAAATGATGTTTAAGTGCATGTATGAGCGTAAGTGCGTCTATGTATTTGAATGAGGGCGTGTGTGTGTGTGTGTGTGTATGTATGCGAGCATGTGTGTATACAGATTATTTTGCATGTGTGTGTGTGTCAGTGTTTAAATGATGTTTTAAGTGCATGTATGAGCGTAAGTGCGTCTATGTATTTGAATGAGGGCGTGTGTGTGTGTGTGTGTATGTATGCGAGCATGTGTGTATACAGATTATTTTGCATGTGTGTGTGTGTCAGTGTTTAAATGATGTTTAAGTGCATGTATGTGCATAAGTGCGTCTATGTATTTGAATGAGGGCGTGTGTGTGTGTGTGTGTATGTATGCGAGCATGTGTGTATACAGATTATTTTGCATGTGTGTGTGTGTCAGTGTTTAAATGATGTTTAAGTGCATGTATGAGCGTAAGTGCGTCTATGTATTTGAATGAGGGCGTGTGTGTGTGTGTGTGTATGTATGCGAGCATGTGTGTATACAGATTATTTTGCATGTGTGTGTGTGTCAGTGTTTAAATGATGTTTAAGTGCATGTATGAGCATAAGTGCGTCTATGTATTTGAATGAGGGCGTGTGTGTGTGTGTGTGTGTATGTATGAGAGCATGTGTGTATACAGATTATTTTTTTGCATGTGTGTGTGTGTCAGTGTTTAAATGATGTTTAAGTGCATGTATGAGCATAAGTGCGTCTATGTATTTGAATGAGGGCGTGTGTGTGTGTGTGTGTATGTATGAGAGCATGTGTGTATACAGATTATTTTGCATGTGTGTGTGTGTCAGTGTTTAAATGATGTTTAAGTGCATGTATGAGCATAAGTGCGTCTATGTATTTGAATGAGGGCGTGTGTGTGTGTGTGTGTGTATGTATGAGAGCATGTGTGTATACAGATTATTTTGCATGTGTGTGTGTGTCAGTGTTTAAATGATGTTTAAGTGCATGTATGAGCATAAGTGCGTCTATGTATTTGAATGAAGGCGTGTGTGTGTGTGTGTGTGTGTATGTATGAGAGCATGTGTGTATACAGATTATTTTGCATGTGTGTGTGTGTGTCAGTGTTTAAATGATGTTCAAGTGCATGTATGAGCATAAGTGCGTCTATGTATTTGAATGAGGGCGTGTGTGTGTGTGTGTGTATGTATGAGAGCATGTGTGTGTACAGATTATTTTGCATGTGTGTGTGTGTCAGTGTTTAAATGATGTTTAAGTGCATGTATGAGCATAAGTGCGTCTATGTATTTGAATGAGGGCGTGTGTGTGTGTGTGTGTATGTATGAGAGCATGTGTGTGTACAGATTATTTTGCATGTGTGTGTGTGTCAGTGTTTAAATGATGTTTAAGTGCATGTATGAGCATAAGTGCGTCTATGTATTTGAATGAGGGCGTGTGTGTGTGTGTGTATGTATGAGAGCATGTGTGTATACAGATTATTTTGCATGTGTGTGTGTGTGTGTGTGTGAGTGTTTAAATGATGTTTAAGTGCATGTATGAGCATAAGTGCGTCTATGTATTTGAATGAGGGTGCGTGTGTGTGCGCGTGTGTATGTATATGTATGGGTGTGCTTGTGTCTGTTTATGTGTGGGCATATAATAGTGTATGTAAATATTCAGAGTGTGTAGGATTGTGTATACATGATATGTGTATTTACTATTTCATTATGTATATTTTTATATAAACATAACATGTATTATTGATAACAGGCATTTGTGGTCTGAAAGATGAGTACTTGCAAGAGCTGAATGTAAGAGGGACCCAATCTGTAACCCTTTGAAAATAAAGTTTGTTTGTTAGTTTGTTCTCTTTCCCTGATTTGTTTTTTCTTTTCCAAAATATATATCCTGTTTCTTTTGTCCTACTGCAGATGTCATAAAGGGTTGCTTAGAGGAGTTAGATGTAGTTTCATGTTCTTTGGCAGTTGCATAGATTGTGTTATTGTCATTTTACGTTTCTCAGTGTGTCTTATACTCCCTCTGCCCATCTCTTTCTTGGTCTTCCTCTTGTCTTGTAGCCTGCTGTTCTCGTGTAGTAAACTTTAGCTGCTGGCTGATCAGATGACCAAACCATATGATTCTTTAACGCTCTGTGAAATCATTCACTGGTACTAGGCCCACCATTGTTCTTAGTTCTTTGTTGGTGACTCGGACTTTTTTTTGTTTAAGATAAATATGACTTACTTTAACTGAGCTGCACAGGTCGACTTTAAAGAGCTGTGTAGTGTCATGGCTAGATGCTTACCTGAAGATCCGAAGGTCATAGGTTTAAATTTGAAAGATGCTGGACATCCCCCCCCCCCCACACTCCCCAAATGAGCTTCACTCCCAGACTATAGACCCAGACCTCCAGGTCAACCCAACCTTACATAGGTACTGGGTAAAAGTCCTGGAAAGTAAAGGTGGCCAGATCGCATCACCTACTGAGTGCCCATTGGTCTGTAAAATATAAGTCTAGCCCTATATGCCCAGTATACTATACGCCTGAATTCGTGGGAATGGGTCCTTTACGGAACTTGCAAGTCTACCATATGTACAAGTAGAGCTCAAGATGTTTAGATTAAGATTGTGAGTTAGGTTTATGCCTACCTGCATGGACTGACAGTCTAAGGGGAGTAATACAGAGAAAAGATGAATAGACAAAAGTTGCAGAACTTACCCGTGACAACCACAAGATCATTGATACGATTTCCTTATGACTGGCTAATATCTTGTTCACCAGTATATTGTCAGTAATGTTGTCCTTGTCAAGTGTAAGTTCTGCAACTCCTGTCTGTTCCACTTTTCCATGGATTGCTTCCCTTACACTGTCAGTCCATGACACTACACATTTCTTCTGCTTCATCTTCATGTTTACCGGTTGTAAACTTCAGCAAAACCTTCTGGTTGTTCGTCTATTTCTGGACTTTGGTCCAGTTCCAGAACCTGAGTGTTGCGTGCACATTTGTTTTACAGACCTGACTCATTTGTATGCAGACTATTGGTTCCTTGCAGCCAGATTCACTCTGACTTTGAAGAAATCTGTTGGTTGGTTAACTGTTATAACAGGCTTTTGGGTAGTCTGTGTGTCTACTCTTGTTTTTCCCACAAAGGGGCCCCAGAACCCGTACAAATTTGATACCTGCAATATAAGTCGATGCCTAATTTTGTAAGGAAGTCACTGTGGCGTAGGGCTAGACATTCACGTGCAGATTGGAAGGTCGTGGATTCGCTTCCTGGCCGAATCAGACTTTTTCAAAAATGTTGACTACCAGGTCGACCCAGCCTTGAGTGGGTACCGGATGCAGTCCTGGGAAGTAAAGGTGACCATCGTGATGCTGATCACAACACCCATCTTGTGCCGATTGGTCTATAAAAATATAGGTCTAGCCCTATATACCCTATATGCCTAAATGTGTGGAAAAGGGACCTTTACTTTTTTTTTATTTTTTTTTAAACTAGTTTTGGAAAGACTGCAAACTTGACAATTATGTGACAGTTTACAATATTTAACTTTATTTTGCTTCTAGGTGGCACAGGGTGTGGCCCAAGCTCTGGGTGTGCCTTTGGACAACATCAAAGTCCGACCTAATCAGGGAATTATCACACCAAACAACATTGTCTCTGGAGGCAGCGTGGCTAGTGAATGTGCTATGCAGGTATTGTTCTTTAATCTTATTAGAAAGTAGACTATTTCTTCTTCTTCTTCAGCATTTCGAGCCCTTGTTGTTCAATCCAGCAGATATCACCTGCCTCCACTCATCTCTCTGGTTGGCCTTCTTCTTCAGCATTCCGAGCCCTTGAGGTTTATTGCTGCAGATATCACCCGCCTCCATTCATCTCTCTGGTTGGCCTTCTTCTTCAGCATTCTGAGCCCTAGAGGTTCATTGCTGCAGATATCACCCGCCTTTATTCATCTCTCTGGTTGGCCTTCTTCTTCAGCATTCTGAGCCCTTCAGGTTCATTGCTGCAGATATCACCTGCCTCCATTCATCTCTCTGGTTGGCCTTCTTCTTCAGCATTCTGAGCCCTTCAGGTTCATTGCTGCAGATATCACCTGCCTCCATTCATCTCTCTGGTTGTCCTTCTTCTTCAGCATTCCGAGCCCTTGAGGTTTATTGCTGCAGATATCACCCGCCTCCATTCATCTCTCTGGTTGGCCTTCTTCTTCAGCATTCTGAGCCCTTGAGGTTCATTGCTGCAGATATCACCCGCCTCCATTCATCTCTCTGGTTGAAGTTCGTTGTTGCTTCTCACTCTCCATTCCCGCCGTTTGCATATTTAGAAAACAAAGAAAAATTTCTTCCTATCTCCTCATTATGGAGTTGAACCAGACATATGTAGATAATGCGATGAGTTTCTACTTAAACGTCACAGTCAGTCTGGCAATGTTATACAGTTGTAAACTTGACCATTACAGCCACAATACAAACTGTACAAACACCTTCCTAATCACTCTGTTCACACATGTCCTAGGAATTTCTGACTACTTTTGATAAGAAAAAATGCACTAACTAACAGTAACATTTTATCAGAAATAAAATATTTATATAGAAGGGGACATAATCATGGGGGGCATCTTCAACTTCTAGATACATTTTTTCTGGTCATTAGAAAAAAAATTGTGCAATCATCCACCACAGAGCATCATATATACAAATATAATAAAGTAAACTAGAAGCGTATGTCTTGGCAAATATAGCTAATCAACATTTTGCATTTTCATTTTCAGCCACAAAATTAGTTTAGATCAGTTATTTTTATTTCTGGTACATATTGATTGTTAACTAGCGTTGTTAACATTTTGTACGGATTAGAGGACACACATGTCGTCATTGAAACTGACTCACAGAGCATGTTGAGAAAGGTGGAGACAGGCATGCTCCATGCAGAGTGGCAAGCATCACTTCAAAAGTCCCGGGTAGGTTTGCATTCTTTGGATATTTTCTCTAGGGATGCTGGTGTGTTGGGAAATAAGCAGGCAGATAGACTGACAGGTTCTGCACAACTCAGTGGTGAACTGATGTATGATGAGCTGGATGTTGTGAGGGCCCTTTGGGAGTGAGTGAGCAGTGCCAAGGCACAGATAGATCATTTCGGTCTGAGGAGAATGGCACTGCGAGGAGTTACAAGGGGATCTGGCCGATGCTTGACACTCAGGGAAAAGGTGAGACGGATATACAATCAGACAGTTACTGATACCATCGGAATTGGAACTCTTCGCTTGCTGCTGAAGATGGGGATGGAGCGCTTATGGGGGGTGTCCCAAGTCCTGTGATGTCGATTCCTAATTCAACATTCAACATTCATTCAACAGGGGTAAGAGAACAATTTAATGTCAAGACTTCTGGTCAAGATAGCATGGCAAGTGGATGTTTATTCTTTGGTCAGCGTCTAACCGGAGTCAATTTTGGACATCCTATTCTGAATGTGATATTTTAGTTCAAGTTTAACCATTCTAGGAAGTTTGAAAAACACTGTGACTGCTCCAGCAAACGGACAGTGTTTTATTTAGTACTGGTAGAAAAATGTAGAAATCTCAATGAAGTGGTTTGGACACTAACAAGAATTCCCTGGTACTATCGCCACAGCGAACTGCTATCTGCCACAGCGAGCCACAATATAGAGTGAAGGGGATAGTATCTAGGAGTTTAAGGACCATTCCAGAGATCTATTCCTGCACTGACGCTGTGAGAAGGCATTCCAGGGGTAGAGGAAAGAAGAAAAAGAAGAAGAATAATAGCTGAACATCTGCTGGACAACAAAAACTCGTAAGGGCAGCAGAACAAATATCGAACACACGGTTTGTTTCACACTTTTGGTTTCCCTGTGTGGGTTCCAGGGCCTCATTATTGGGAGAAAAAAAGAACAGACTCAATAATCATTAATTAGCAGTCGTCCCCCATGTGAGATGCCATTTTTGGTTATTTGAAGCCCCACCCTGGCTTTTGCTGGGGGCCCTGAATAAAGCTGGGCCATAAATATGGCCTAACAGCTGAAAGGGGTTTCTGGGACCTCTTAACTGGTGATCCTCATCCGCATGGTGGCACTTTGTGTCACCGAGTGTTTATCGCTTGTGTTATGTCCTGGTGGGGTAAAACAAGAGACAGAGAAACCCACTGAGCATTGATTGGTCTTTAAAAAATAGGTCTAGCCCTATTTGCCCAATATGCCTAAAGGCATGGGAAAGGGTCCTTCACTTTTGGATGGACTCAGACAAGGAAACTGACTGTACATTGTGATTGTCATAGTTTAATTTAGTTAAGGGAACTGTCACAGTTTAACTCAGTCAAGGGAGCTGTCATAAGTTTAACTCAGTTGAGGGAACTGTCACAGTTTAACTTAGTCAAGGGAACTGTCATAGTTTAACTCAGTCAAGTGAACTGTCATAGTTTAACTCAGTCATGGGAAATGTATTTCATAACTGCCATAGTTTAATTCAGTCAAGGAAACTGTCATAGTTTAACGCAGTCAAGGGAACTGTCATAGTTTAACTCAGTCATGAAAACTATATATTTCATAACTGCCATAGTTTAATTCAGTCAAGGAAACTGTCATAGTTTAACGCAGTCAAGGGAACTGTCATAGTTTAACGCAGTCAAGGGAACTGTCATAGTTTAACTCAGTCATGGAAACTATATATTTCATAACTTCCATAGTTTAATTCAGTCAAGGAAACTGTCATAGTTTAACGCAGTCAAGGGAACTGTCATAGTTTAACTCAGTCATGGAAACTATATATTTCATAACTGCCATAGTTTAATTCAGTCAAGGAAACTGTCATAGTTTAACGCAGTCAAGGGAACTGTCATAGTTTAACGCAGTCAAGGGAACTGTCATAGTTTAACTCAGTCATGGAAACTATATATTTCATAACTGCCATAGTATAATTCAGTCAAGGAAACTGTCACAGTTTAACGCAGTCAAGGGAACTGTCATAGTTTAACTCAGTCATGGAAACTATATATTTCATAACTGTCATAGTTTAACTCAGTCAAGGGAACTGTCATAGTTTAACTCAGCCAAGAAAACTGTCAGCCAAGGGAACTGTCATAGTTTAACTCAGCCAAGGAAACTGTCATAGTTTAACTCAGTCAAGGGAACTGTATATACTTCATAACTGTGATAGTTTAACTCAGTCAAGGGAACTGTCTTAGTTTAACTCAGTCAAGTGAACTGTCATAGTTTAATTCAGTCATGGGAACTGTCATAGTTTAACTCAGCCAAGGAAACTGTCATAGTTTAACTCAGTCAAGGGAACTGTATATATTTCATAACTGTGATAGTTTAACTCAGTCAAGGGAACTGTATATATTTCATAACTGTGATAGTTTAACTCAGTCAAGGGAACTGTCATAGTTTAACTCAGTCAAGGGAACTGTATATATTTTATAACTGTGATAGTTTAACTCAGTCAAGGGAACTGTATATATTTCATAACTGTGATAGTTTAACTCAGTCAAGGGAACTGTCATAGTTTAACTCAGTCAAGGGAACTGTCATAGTTTAACTCAGTCAAGGGAACTGTCATAGTTTAACTCAGTCATCTTCGTGTGTCCCGTACATTTTGCTTCGCACAGGCCTCCATACTAGTTTCTAATGTTCGGAGGTACGATTAAACTGTTCAGGAAAAGTCACTCTGCCGAAATCGTTTTAGCTTCCTTTTCTAGCCTAAACCACACTTGCATAATTTGATAGGATACAGAGAGCGACTTTTTTTTTAAAGTGCATTTTCCAAGTTTGTTTTTGAGTGCCATGAATACCAGTGTTCCAGCCACAAGTACAGGTCACAGAATGCGTCTTTTTGCCAAAGCTCTGAAATTGTTTCAGTCAGATGTTTTTAATTATGATAATGATAATGAAAATTTAGATTTTTCGGAAAGTGATTCAGACGGGGCATTTTTACCAGCGAAGCTGAGCAATCAGCTGTTATGAATCTAGCAATTCTGATGAGTTTATTACTCAGACAATGTCCTATACTACCGTTTTTATGGTGTAAGAGAAGGAAAGTGCTCTAAACAAAGAGATTGTACTATACTATGGCTAAGCTACATTGAAATCATTGCAGCTACAGTCTGCACATAACTGTATAAAGTAAATAATTAATAACGTGTGTGCAATTGCTCATTTTTTGGCAATTTTTTCTCTGAAATTTTGCTCAGTACTCTGTGAGAACTAAGAGCTCCTGAGTGCTAAACTAACCCAAAACTTATTATAATTTTGGAATTTGTTAGGAAATTGAACAAACTTTGAAGTTTTGATCTCAAATTTGGATATTCATTACTCGTGTGGCTGCAAAATCATGGTAAGTGAAGAATATGTTTGTAAAATGTTGTCCTTGTGAAATTAACACCTGCTGAATTCTTTTCTACTAACTATTAAAAAAATTAAACATATGCTTTTATCATCAGACTCAAAATGTAAATTCATTTCTCTTTAAAAATGTTAAAACTTTTATTAGGATTAGAAGTATATTACATTCTCTATTGCCTTTCTTGTACACCCACCCCTCTGCCATTTTTGTAAAGGGAAATTAATGTGGGCCAAGTCTTTCAAGATTCATGGGCCTGAAAGAGTTAATCAGGGGCCACCACTCTGAAAGTGGGAATTGTCACAGTCCAAGGGACCAAACCTCAGCAAAGAGAGGTCATTGATACAATGGAAATAGCCATTTGCTAGGCCTGTGTGGGTCATACATGGCCCATGGGGCTACCAGTTGGAATAACCCTGGCGTAGGCTGTCATGCTTCACCTTCTTACACGATTTCCAGAATTACCGGTCAGTTTTATATTTGTGTGTGTGTCTCGTGCCATCTATCTCACCAGGCTGTTGTGGAATTTATCTCATTGCCTTCCTCCTGCTCTCTTTCCATCAGTGTTGCCAGTTGTCACCAAGCTCTTGAGTCCATTCCTTCTCATAACATCTCCAAAAAATAATGAATGTCCAGTTTCTGTATTAATATCCTTTACCAGATGACGTCACAGGACAGTCCATCATTTTAGAGGGTGGTAAGACTGGGTTTCCTGGCTTTCTGATGCTTTTAACTACCCCAAAAAATCTAGAACTGTGGCCCTAACCCCAACCCACATATGTCCCACGAGAGAATGCAGCCTAGGTCCCATGACTGCATGCAGCCTATCTTCCACCCCCTAAAATATTAGAATGTCCTATGACCTGTGGATTTTTCCTGTTTGGGGTAGGATTTTAATAAAGCTCTGATGTATAATCAAATTGTAATAAGTTTACGACTTTCATCCACCTCGATGAGGACTGCTTTGTTTTTCTTCTTCTATCCTTCCTTGAAATTCTTCACATTCTTCTGAGAAAAACACATCTCTACCACGAGTAAATGTTTTTCAGCTAAAAAATATACAAAATAATAGATCACATTTTGTAATCTCAACAATGTAAACCCAACAACAGATCATATTTTATATTCTCAACAACATAAACCCAGCAACAGGTTACATTTGATATCTTAACAACCTAAACCCAACAGAAGATCACATTCTATTTTCTCAACAGACACAAACTCAACAGAAGATCAAATTCTATATTCTCAACAACACAAACCCAACAGAAGATCAAATTCTATATTCTCAACAACACAAACCCAACAGAAGATCAAATTCTATATTCTCAGCAACACAAACTCAACATAAGATCAAATTCTATATTCTCAACAACACAAACTCAACATAAGATCAAATTCTATATTCTCAACAACACAAACTCAACAGAAGATCAAATTCTATGTTCTCAGCAACACAAACTCAACAGAAGATCAAATTCTATATTGTCAGCAACACAAACCCAACAGAAGATCAAATTCTATATTCTCAACAGACACAAACCCAACAGAAGGTTACATTCTATATTCTCAGCAACACAAACCCAACAGAAGGTCACATTCTATATTCTCAACATACACAAACCCAACAGAAGATCAAATTCTATATTCTCAGCAACACAAACCCAACAGAAGATCACATTCTATATTCTCAACACAAACCCAACAGAAGATCACATTCTATATTCTCAACACAAACCCAACAGAAGATCACATTGTATATTCTCAACAGACACAAACACAACAGAAGATCAAATTCTATATTCTCAGCAACACAAACACAACAAAAGGTCACTTTCTATATTCTCAACACAAACCCAACAATAAACCTCATTTTAAATTCTCTGTGAGGAGAGGCTGGCCGAATGGTTAGAATGCTGGGCTCTTATGCAGGAGACCCGGGTTCAAATCCTCTGTAAGGCTGGTTTTTTTTCTGTCAGGGGCAAAAATAAAATCTTCACTTGCACAGTCGTGCGACAGCACCAGCTATGCAGCCTACACTGCAAAAGTGGTATAGTAACGGCAGTAATTGGCAGTATATTCTCTACAGCATAAACCCAACAATAAACCACATTTTATATTGTCGACAATATAAACCCAACCACTGACATTGTCTTGCAGCTTAAACCCAACCTATTGACATTGTCTTGCAGCTTAAACCCAACTATTGACATTGTCTTGCAGCTTAAACCCAACTATTGACATTGTCTTGCAGCTTAAACCCAACTATTGACATTGTCTTGCAGCTGAAACCCAACTATTGACATTGTCTTGCAGCTGAAACCCAACTATTGACATTGTCTTCCAGCTTAAACCCAACTATTAACATTTCTTGCAGCTAAAACCCAACTATTGACATTGTCTTGCAGTTTAAACCCAACTATTGACATTGTCTTGCAGCTGAAACCCAACTATTGACATTGTCTTGCAACTGAAACCCAACTATTGACATTGTCTTGCAGCTTAAACCCAACTATTGACATTGTCTTGCAGCTTAAACCCAACTATTGACATTGTCTTGCAGCTGAAACCCAACTATTGACATTGTCTTGCAGCTGAAACCCAACTATTGACATTGTCTTGCAGCTGAAACCCAACTATTGACATTGTCTTGCATCTTAAACCCAACCACTGACATTGTCTTGCAGCTTAAACCCAACTATTGACATTGTCTTGCAGCTTAAACCCAACTATTGACACTGTCTTGCAGCTTAAACCCAACTATTGACATTGTCTTGCAGCTGAAACCCAACTATTGACATTGTCTTGCAGCTTAAACCCAACTATTGACATTGTCTTGCAGCTTAAACCCAACTATTGACATTGTCTTGCAGCTTAAACCCAACTATTGACATTGGTCAGATCGAAGGAGCATTTGTCATGGGCCTGGGCTGTTACTTAACAGAAGATATTTTCTTCGATGCCAAGTCTGGACACATTCTCAACGATGGCACTTGGGCAAGTATTTTCTGTTGACTATGAAAAATTGATATATGTTTAGAAGTGATGTCATCTGTTTCACTGTATATTATCAACTGTTTAACCATATATTGTCATCTGCTTCATGATGTTGATGTTGATAAACACACACACACACACGCACACACACACATACACATCTGTATTTTTTTAACAGAAATCTGCATCTATTCAAATACAGAAATCTACATTTTTTCAAGTACAGAAATCTACATTGATTCAAGTACAGAAATCTACATTTATTCAAGTACATTTAATCACACATTAATATCAGTAGTAATATTTTATTTTTTACACATTCATGACTTTATAATTTAATTTAATTTAACAATTATGTGTTTTAACCGACATAATATTTGCCCATCTAAGTGACGACCTCTACTAAGGCTTATGATATTTGGGGGTCATCATCGTACTCATTGTATCATAACACTGAATGTGATTGGGTCACCAGTTGCTGTTGACTGTCTGATCAGCTCCCTGCACCTTTGATGGTCAGTTGCGATGGACTTCTTGGCTGCATGCCTAAGGTCTGTCCAGTCAGTCAAGTTCTGTATCCAGGTCTTTTTTGGTCTGCCCCTTCTCCTCTTTCCCCTCTATCAAGCCCTGTAGTTTTGTTTTTGAGAGGCCGTTAGATTTTATTACATGTCCGTACTATTGCATTTTCCGCATTTTCACTATAGTTTAAACAGACTCATAATTGCCAGTATGCTGGGTAATTATACGGCGGACATCGTCATTTTTTGATATGGTCTCTGTATGATATGTCAAGAATTTTTCTAAACAGTCTCGTTTCCATTGCTTAAATCTTCTTTTTGAGTTCAGCTGTCAAGGTCCATGTCTCACAGCCATATGTAAATGTATTAATAGCTAGTTCTCTAAGCAGTCATAGTTTTGCATGAAAAGTTTTGGGATCTTCATAATATTTGCTGTTTGGCAAGGACTGATGTTGTCAGGGCAATCTAGACATAACTTCTGGTCTGGACCCTAGATCACTTAGAAAGGCCTGTCCAGTCAAGTTCTGTATCAGGTCTTTCTTGGTCTGTCGCTTCCCCTCCTACCCTCTGTTCAGCCCTGCAGGATTGTTTTTGAGAGGCCTGTTAGATCTTATTTCATGTCCATACCATGCAATTGCCTTATTTTCACTGTAGTTAAAAGAGGTTCATAGTTGCCATTGAACTGGGTAATTATGCAATTGCAATGTATTTTGTGTGTTAAATTTTTTGTCTTTTGTTTTTTAGGAATACAAGGTTCCGACAACAAAAGATATTCCTATTGACTGGAGGATCTACCTCCTGCCGGATACACCAAACCCCACAGGCATTCGCAGTTCTAAAGGTGGGGTGTTGTCTCACTCTTTGTGTGCAAGTCTTGATCTTCTTCTTTCTTCAGGTGACTGCTGCAGTTTTACTCCTATACCATGTTTGGAAATCTTTATCTTCTTCTTCATGGTTATTGGCTGTAAACTCCGGCAGAAAGCTCTGGTTGTTCAGTTCGTCCATTTCTAGACTTAAGTCTTATTCTAGAAGTTGAGTTTTGTGTGCACATCCATTTTACATATCTGGCTTATTTGTATGCAGACTGTTGGTTTCCTTGCCTCTCAAGCAGATGCACTCTGACAGAGGGAAACCCCTGATTTGTCAAAACTTACAACATGTGGGCGCGTGCGCATGCACACACAAACGCACGTGCACACACACATGCCCACACACCTGCTTGCACACACGCATGCACATGCATGCATGCATGCATGCGCGCACACAAGCACACACACACACAATGTGGGGCAGTGGAACACACACAAGATATGTTACAAAATTAGTTCATGAATGAATAGATAATTATGGTTTGAGGAGAATGGCCACCGCTCAACACTCAAGGAAATGGTGAGACGGATTTACAGTCAGATAGTTACTGTTACCGTCAGAATTTGAACTCTTTGCTTGCTGCTGAAGATAGGGGGCGGATCACTTATGAAAGTGTCCTGATTGATATGATGTCAATTTTTAATTCAACATTCATGAATGAATTTGACCAGTCCATAAAGATATAAGTTTAGCAGCATTTGAATGATGTGTGTAACTCTTTGGTCCCAGAAAACCAAAAAAAGAAATTTGTGGAACCCACAAGTAACTTTCCATAAATTGTGTGTTTTGAGCCAGTTTGAGACATTCTAATTAATTCCTTTGAAAAAAAAATCCTGTGAATCCTTGATTCCTGGAGTCGGTATTCTTCTTCTTCATCTTCAGCACCCTGAGCCCTTGAGGTTCATTGCAGCAGATATTACCTGCCCCCATTCATCTCTCTGGTTGGCCTTTTCTTTCCATTGGTAACACTAAATGTTTGCAGGTCTGTCTGGACTTTATCTCTCCATCTTCTTCTTGGTCTGCCTCCTGGTCTACCACCATTGATCTCCCTGGTGTATACAGTTTTTACTTCTCTGTCATCTGACATTCTTTCAATATGCCCCAACCATTTCAGTCTATTAGCTCTCACTATGCCAGTGATCAGTGGTGATTTGAACAGATAATGAATTTTGTTGTTGCTTCTCACTCTCCATTCCCCGCTGTTGCATATTTAAAAAACATAGAAACATTTCTTGCCATCTCCTCATTTTGGAGTTGAACAAGACATATGTAGATAATGCAATGAGTTATCCACTTAAACATCACCGTCAGTCTGGCAATGTTATACACTTGTAAACATAATCATTACTTTCATTGCAGCTGTAGGAGAGCCACCCATCTCCTTGTCAGTCGGGGCTCTGTTGGCCAATAAGCTGGCAATACAATCTGCACGCAGGGACTTGTTTGGAGCTGAGGACTTTATGCCAACAGGTGAGGCATACCTTCACTTGCTGTATGTGATCTTGTCCTCACTTTCCTGTTTGTGATCTTGTCTTCATTTTCCTGTATGTGATCTTGTCTTCACTTTCCCAGTATGTGATCTTGTCTTCACTTTCCTGTATGTGATCTTGTCTTTACTTTCCTGTATGTGATCTTGTCTTCACTTTCCTGTTTATCATCTTGTCTTCACTTTCCTGAATGTGATCTTGTCTTCATTTTCCCAGTATGTGATCTAGTCTTCACTTTCCCAGTATGTGATCTTGTCATTACTTTTCTGTACATAAAGAATCAGCTCAAAATCGGCTGTACACACATGTGATAATTGTAACCATTTCACAGAGGATGTTGAGAAAGGTGGAGACCAGTATGATCCATGAAGAGTGGTAACTATTGCTTCAGAGGTCCTGAGTTGTTAGTGTCCTTTGGATATTTTTTCCAGGGAAGCTGGTGTATTAGGAAATGAAAGGGCAGATAGACTGGCTGCTTCTGCACAACTTGATGGTGAGAAACTGTTTGGGGGAGAGTGAACAGTGCAGAGGCACAGATGGATTATCATGGTTTGAGGAGAATGATACTGCAAGGCGCAACCAGGGGATCTGGCCAATGATCAACACTTAAATGAAAGGTGAAATGAACATTCAATCAAACTGTTACTGGTGCCATCGGAATTAGAACTCTACGCTTGCTGCTAAAGATGGGGAGGGAGCACTTATGAGAATGTCCTGTGAAGTTGATTTTTAATTCAACATTAAACATTAGGTAGAGAACCTTTTCTCACACTACTTGTGGATCAGCACTGGTGCTAGACCAGTATTGCTAAAAGTCTAGTTTGGAACTTCAGTAAAAGTAAGTCAAGTAAAGGTCCCTTTTCCACACCTTTAGGGGTATAGGACATATAGGGCTAGACCTATATTTTTATAGACCAATTAGCACAAGATGGGTGATTTGGCGCTGGCCGCCTTTACTTCCCGGGACTGGACCCAGGACCCACTCAAGGCTAGGTCAACCTAGAAGTCAAGATCATCTTTTTTTAAAAGTCTGATTCCGCCAGGGAGCAAACCCATGACCTTCCGAACCGCGGCAAGCCTCTAGCCACTCCGCCACGGCGACTCCTGTATATCACAGTGATATTGGGGCACCATAAAATGGTTATGAGGTGACCTGAAATCCAGTGTGGTTGGGTCCTTGTGAGCCAGTACTTTTGTGTACCAGTTTATACTCAATGTGTAATGTTTTGTCTGTGTGTGTCTATAACTGTCTGTCTGTGTATGTCACAGTATCTTTCTGTCTGTCTGCCCTTGCTGAATTTATCTATTTGCATGTCTGGTAGTGTGTCTCCTTCTCTCCGTCTGCCCATATTCCATGTTGGAATTGCTACTTATATCTTCATTAGAAAGTAGAGCAGCTTCTGTTCTTTCTTTTTTGTTGTTTCACAATAAAGTCAGATTCCTATTTATATTTACAGTTGCTCCGTACACAGTTGAGAAAGCTCAGCAAAGTGTTGGTCTCTCTGTGGAAAATCTGATATTTTAATCTGCTGACTGGGTCACAGAGCTCCCTCCTCAGACCACCCCGGAGATCTCTCCGTCGTGCCAGTCTAACTTTAAACATTAGTGAACATTTTATAACCAGAAACATATATATGTTTGCAGAGATGTACTTATTGTTTGTGGACAAACTCACAGTTTACCTGTCTGAAATCTCGGCCAGCCCAGAGATGCCGCTGGCCAGCGTGGTAGCTTCAACATTAGTGAAAATTGTCTACTCAGATACATGTATGTGTGAAGATATATGTGATAATTACTTATTGTATGCTGTGCTGTTTGTGGATAATGTTCTACTTTGCTAGATCCTAGCTAGCCCAGATATCAATCTAGCCAGCCCAGAGATCAATCTAGGAAGCCCAGAGATCAATCTAGCCATCCCGGAGATCAATCTAGCCAGCCCAGAGATCAATCTAGCCAGCCCAGTGATCAATCTAGCCAGCCCAGAGATCAATCTAGCCAACCCAGAGATCATAATGACCAGTTCAGAGATCCTAATGGCCAGTTTAGAGATCCAATCTGGCCAGTTCTGTGATTTATCTGGCTGGTTCTGAGATCATAATGGCTAGTTCCGAGATCCATCTGGTCAGCCCAGATATATATGAAGATATATGTGATAATTACTTATTGTATGCTGTGCTGTTTGTGGATAATGTTCTACTTTGCTAGATCCTAGCTAGCCCAGAGATCAATCTAGCCAGCCCAGATATCAATCTAGCCAGCCCAGAGATCAATCTAGGAAGCCCAGAGATCAATCTAGCCATCCCGGAGATCAATCTAGCCAGCCCAGAGATCAATCTAGCCAGCCCAGTGATCAATCTAGCCAGCCCAGAGATCAATCTAGCCAGCCCAGAGATCATAATGACCAGTTCAGAGATCCTAATGGCCAGTTTAGAGATCCAATCTGGCCAGTTTAGAGATCCAATCTGGCCAGTTTAGAGATCCAATCTGGCCAGTTCTGTGATTTATCTGGCTGGTTCTGAAATCATAACGGCTAGTTCCGAGATCCATCTGGTCAGCCCAGAGATCCATCTGGCCAACTCATAGATCCATCTGGCTAACCAGAGATCCATCTGGTCAGCCCAGAGATCCATCTGGCCAACTCATAGATCCATCTGGCTAACCCAGAGATCCCTCCAGCGAGCTGAGATCCCTTCAGTTAGCCTCATATCTTCCACAGTTGTCAGAATTTATCTACTCAGAAACAGACATGCTTATATGCGTCATAATTACTTATTGCTTGCTATGTAATCAGTCGTACTTTACAAAGCTCTGGTGTCTCTGCAGTAGAGATATATGTGTCATAATTACTTATTGCTTGCTATGTAATCAGTCGTACTTTACAAAGCTCTGGTGTCTCTGCAGTAGAGATATTAGAACACAAAGAAGCCCTGGTAGCAATGTGGCTAGAAACTCCCCTGCTGGCACAGAAGTGCTAAGTTCAAATCTATATCAGAGCAGACTTCAGCCTTCCTTCTTCTTTTTTTTTTTTATCCTATTGCTTTGTGTCATAAATTGTTGCAGAGAGAGAAGGTAGATGTAGTTTCTTTTTTTTTTTTTTGCTAATTAATTTCATACTGTGTTTCTGTAGTATCTATTTGACTCCATCCACCCATCTGTTTGTTGGTTAGGTTCTTGACTTGTAGTATGCTCTACCTGCTGGCTGATTTTATTCCATTCTGAACTATTGACCAAACCATTTGATTCTGTGTTGTTCTCTGAAAACATTCACTGGCACTGTGTCTTAGTTGTTTGGGGACCTGTCTCTTCTTGTTTTTTCTGTCCATGTCTGGCATTTATAGCACGTAGTCGGTATGAGTAGCATTCATAACCATACAGAAGCTTCTCTACTTTCTAATGAAGATATAGGTAGCAATTCCAACATGGAATATGGGCAGACAGACAGAAGGAGACACACTGTCAGACATGCAAATAGATAAATTCAGCAAGGACAGACAGACAGCAAGATACTGTGACATACACAGACAGACAGTTATAGACACACACAAAACTAACAGACACACAGACAGTTATAGACACACACAAAACTGACAGACAGAGATATACATTATTTATTGAGTACCAGCTGGTAGACAAAAGAACTGGCTCACAAGGACTCAACCACACTGGATTTCAGGACACCTTATAATCATTGTATGGTGGCCCAATATCACTGTGCTATATGGTTGTACAGTTTGACAGGGTTCCATACCTCATTCATATAGATCTTGTATCATACAGACAAATTTTGGGTTCACAGTTTAATCACTTCTTACTCATTCATAATTGCACAAAAAGTTGTAAGAATAAAACAGAAAAACTGAAAGCAAATACATAAGAACACAATTTACAAGACAATTACAAGTAGCAGCACACATTGTAACAGAGAATAAGGGACATTTATGGCCGGTGATAATGCTAAATAGTAATTACAAACTGCACTCATACTGTAAAGGTCTCTTTTCCACGCCTTTAGGCATATAGGGCTAGACCCATAGTTATATAGACCAATCAGCACAAGGTGGGTGATATGGTCAGCATCACGCCAGCTTCCCGGGACTGCACCCGGTATCCACGGAAGAATGGGTCGACCTGGAAGTCAAGTCATTTTGAAAAATGTCCCGCTTCGCCAGAGAGCAAACCCACCACCTTCCGATCTGCACACGATCGTATAGCTGCTACACCATGGCAACTCCCACACTCGAATTGTGCTTTTCCAAAAATAACACTGGGTCTTGTATGAATGAATTTGTTCTGCAAACAGGCCTTAAAGCTGGGTTTTTTTTCCCTCTCTTCCAGAGGATGTCTTATTGTTTCAAGTATACAAATCTACATTTATTCAAGCACTAAAATTATATATATTATTCACACAAATCAATATTCATTCTAATACGGTTATGTTATCTTCTCCTGGAACATCTTTTTAATTCAATGTCTTCTCGATATGGGTTCCAAGGCCCCCATTAGAGGGGAGGGGAGGAGGAAAAGACTCATTACCCCAGGCCAACAAGCATTACCCCAGCCCAACAAGCATGTAACATGACTAATTAGATATGTGTCCTTCGAAGTCAAAGTGCATCAAAAGCGAGGAACCAACAGTCTGCACACTAAGAGCAAAATTTGCACAAAGTCAGGTCAAGTTCTGGAACAAGACTGATGTCCAGAAGTGGACGAACAACCAGAACTTTCCGCCGGAGTTACAACCCGTACACGCAAATAATAATAAGAGGCAGCAGAGAATATGTCTGTTTCCATGTGTTAGGGTTAGGGATGAATTCCATCTAGTTGAAAGTTTCCTGTGTTTCAACAGATGAACTAGATCAATCCCATCTAGTTGTGTAATTAATGATGAGCTAGATGAATAATCATTGGTACTATTAGTATGTAACACGACTTGTAACAAACGTGAAATAGAGAGAGTATATAGTCTCTCTCTCTATTTCACGTTTGTTACAACAATGACACCGTTGGTATTGAGGGCACTGTATGTGTGAGGGATACATTTTGCACAGTCTACCAGTGCAGCAGCGGGCCTAATGTATAGTGAGAGGAGGGGGAGAGAAAGTGTGTATGAGCAAAGCCAAAGAAAGAGTGTGTATGAGCAAAGCTAGGCAAAACAAAGAGTCTGTGTGAAAATGCCAAAGAAAGATTCATGTGTCTGTGTGAAAATGCCAAAGAAAGATTCATGTGTCTGTGTGAAAATGCCAAAGAAAGATTCATGTGTCTGTGTGAAAATGCCAAAGAAAGATTCATGTGTCTGTGTGAAAATGCCAAAGAAAGATTCATGTGTCTGTGTGAAAATGCCAAAGAAAGATTCATGTGTCTGTGTGAAAATGCCAAAGAAAGATTCATGTGTCTGTGTGATAAATGTCTGAAAGATTCAGTGTCTGTGTGACAAACACTGATAAAATGTTTGTGGGGAAACATATGCAATGGGCCATTTTATTGACTGTCATGGGGAGCATGACAGCCACGCATGACAGTCTCACACACGCATGACAGTCTCACACACGCATGACAGTCTCACACACGCATGACAGTCTCACACACGCATGACAGATGGGGAGGAAGCCTCACACAGTCCTAATTACTGTCTTGTTATGCCATTATATTCCACATGGGGCTCTTTCCCTTCCCCACACATTTAACTTGTCTGTCCTTTCCCCCATTCATACAATCTTAGACTAGTCCACCACTTTTGCATTTCCCCCCCCCCCCCCCCCCCCCCCAACACATATTCAGTCTCCACACCCCCCCCCCCCAACATATTTTCACATGACACAGTGTGCAAAATGACAGCACCATTGTAGCTGGATGCTACTCAACCTTCTGTACATATGATGCTATGTTGATTAAACATCAAATTAATTCACAACATGGACACATAAAAAAAGAATCAGAAAGAGAGACTACATTCTTTGGAGTACATCGTGACGGTAGGGCAATTTAAAGGGAGAAGAGGGAGACCGAGAGATTAGATGCGGGTTGGTCTGACATCATGGCATGGAGGATCATCTGTGTCAGAGTTGATTGAAAGTACATGAGACAGAAGGTTGTGGATAGACGTGACTGCCAACGCCACACGGCATGGACTCTAAGAAGAAAAAGAAAATTATTGGCAACATTCCTAATAATTCCTTCTTCTTCTTTTGTTGTTGTTGCGTTAACCGACTTTAAACTCTGGCGGAAAGCACTTAGTCTTGTCCCAGAGCGTGCACATCCGTTTAACAGATCTTGCTTATTTGTATGCAGACTGTTAGTTGCCTGCTTCAGGACACTTTCCCACGATGCAGAACCAGACTTATATAGACCAGTCGGCACTTGATGGATGATGATGTCAGCATCAAGCCGGACGCCTTTACTTCCCAGGACTGCACTCAACGCTGGGTCGACCTGGGAAAAGATGTTGATGTTTTTGTTTATTCAACGGATTAAAATCATGCTCCATAAGTGCTCCGTTCTACTTCTAACTCAAGCCTGAGTCTGAAA